ATAAATAAATAAAAAAATTTAAAAAAATAGGCAAATAGACAAATAAAAATTTTAAAAATAAATAAATGAGAGAAGACACTGAAGCAAAGGCGTGAGACTAGACGGAAACTGATGACGTCAAAGCTCCATCGAGCACACAGATCTCATTAAAAAAACAATTGGAGAAAAAATATAGAAAAGAAGCCAAATATGGACAATGTACGAAACAGCAACATTGAGGGGCACAAAAAGACGAGGCGCTCAGTCTCACTGTTCTGCCCTAATGGAAAATTAGGAACACTTTTGCATATCTAAAAAAAATAATTTTAAAAAATTGATGTTCGTAATGTAAAATAAAAATAAGCTCTTGCTTTAAAAGGGGCTTTCCACGTCCACCACTTCTAGATTCTTCTCCTAATGTGCTTTCGATTATCCCTTGTCAAGTGTGATCATAATTAGTCCATTCTAGCAAGCCCATTTGTGTCACGACAAGGTGTAATCAGGGGTTCGTTGATATATGATTAATTAAAAGCGTGTTCATTTGCCTTGCTTTTAATGGAAAAAGATACAAATTTCTTTTGAACAAAAGTCAAGATATTAGCACCCTAGGGAGATGTGGAGTCGCTTGTCAAAAGTAAAATAAGCCACAAAATGTTCGCCACATTTCAGTGACTTCCAAAGCAGAAGAAGTCTTGGAAACTGTAATATTACATTTGTGAGCATTTAACCAACATTTTTCAGGAAGAATCCACTCAGAAATGTGGGTTGTTTTTTTTTCCTTTTTATGAATATACATATAAAAGGTGTTGAGCCAACAATAAGAAATTCGATTAAAATTGCCCACAGGCGTAAAAGATGACTGTTTCTTGGATTTAATTATTTTGACGAGTGCTTAATTTTACGCCGATGATACACATTTATCATTAACTGAGTAAATCAGCATAGATTTGGGCTCTATAGCTCACAAGAAGCGACAAACACAAATATGTATTATGTCATTCTTAAACTTTCTATCCGTGAGTGTAGTTTATAAGTTTAATTTTATATCATTCGAAATGGTATAAAGTTAGTGATAAAAATCAAAACAAAAATTTCGACCTCTTCCCTCTGAAACCCACGCTATTTGTTCTTTTATGTCAGCATGTGAGTTTGAGTTTGAGTGCGTATGCTTGAGTGTGGGTTTGTGTGCGTGTGTGTGTGTGTGTGTGTGTGTGTGTGTGTGTGTGTGTGTATAGGATTGTGTGAGTGTGCGTGTTTGTGTGCGTGTGCGTGTGTGAGTATGTGCGTGTGCGTGT